TGCGCATCATACTCCTGTCACGTCTCACTGAAGAAGTCTGTCTGTGAGCATCTGGGCGTGAGAGCGAGTCAGTGTAGACCACGGGCGCGACAACGACGACGACAACGACAGCAACGACTTCAGTAACGTCAGCCTCCTCTGGACATCTGTCAGGAAAGATGAGGGGAACACACTGGACAATCGAGGAAGCACTGGACCACCTGGGTGTGAGTGAGTCTAGATACGAGTGAGCTTGAGTGTGATTGAATCGAGGTATAGTAAAATCTAAGAACGAGCGGGCCTGAGTGTGAGTGAGTCTGAGTGCGAGTGAGTCTGAGTGCGGGTGGGTCTGAGCTTGGGTAAGTCTGAGTGTAAATGGGTCTGAATGTGAGTATGATGAGTACGAGGACGAGTACGAGTGGGTCTGAGCACGAAGGAGCCTGAGTATGAGTCAGGGTGGGCGAATATGAAAGCGGATGAGCCTGAGTGAGGAGGTGACGCGACTGAGTCTGAGTTCGGAAGAGTGGAGCTGTGCTTGAGTACGAGCGACTCTGAGTGTGAGTGCGTATGAGTGTGATGCAGCCTGAGTGGGTGAGTATGAGTATGAGTGAGTCTGAGTGCGAACGACTCCGAGGGTGAGTGGCTCTGAATGTGAGCGAGTCTGAGTATGGTCGAGTATGAGCATGAGTGAGTACGAGCGAAAAGAAGGAGGAGGGAGGGTTCTGTCCTCCGTTCCTTCCTGAGAAATCGGATGCGTCTAGGCAACAAGATAAGCACGAACGGGTCCATGGAATACCCCCTTGGCGCCACCCCTGCCCCCCCCCCTCCCTTTGGGGTGCTGAAACCAGCGCATCGCCTGAGACATCCTCACAACCTGCTTCGACAGCAAAGGACGCCGGGCACACAAACCAGCAAAAAGCCTGATACACCCCCACCATCTAGACCCGAATGGGCCCGTGAAATACTTTCCTAACGCCCCACCCCCTCCCCCAGGAGTGCTGAAAACCAGCGGCTCGCCCGAGACATCCTCACACTCTACTCCGAAAACAAAGGATGTTGGGCACGCAAACAAACAAACCGCCTGCGACATCCCCACCATCTAGACCCGAACGGGCCAGTGAAATACACCATGGCGCCCCCCCCGGAGTGTTAAAAACCAGCGGTTGGCCTGAAACGTCCTCACACTGTGTTCCGAAAGCAAAGGATGTCGGGCACGCAAACAGACAAACCGCCTGAGACACCCCCACAATCTAGGCGCGATTGGGCCCGTGAAATAATATCCCCTGCCTCCCCGTCCCCCCGCTTTTGTGGTGTTGGAACCAGCGCCTCGCCTGAAACGCCCTCGCAATCTGCTCCGAAAACAGGACATGCTGAGCGCGCAAAGCGTCTGCTCTCCGTCCTCCTCCTCCTCCTCTTTTTCCTCCTCCGCCTCCTCCTCCTCCTCTTATCATTATTATTCTTATTCTTCTTATTATTCTTATTTTCTTATTCTTCTCATTATTATTCTTATTATTATTCTTCTTATTCTTCGTATGATTCTTCTTATTATTATTATTGTTATTCTTCTTCTTCTTATTATTATTATTATTATTATTCTTCTTCGCGTTATTATTATTCTTATTAGTCTTCTTATTATTATTATTATTATTCTTCGTATTCTTCTTATTATTCTTCTTATTCTTCTGATTATTATTATTATTCTTCTTATGATTATTATTAGTATTATTATTATTATTTTTTCTTCGTATTCTTCTTCTTATTCATATTATTCTCATTCTTCTTAGTATTATTATTCTTCTTATTATTATTGGTATTATTCTTATTTTCTTCTTCTTCGTATTATTCTTCTTCTTCTTATTATTATTATTATTCTTCTTATGTTTTTCTTCTTCTTCTTATTCTTATTATTATTATTCTTATTATTCTTCTTATTCTTCTTTTTATTCTTATTATTCTTCTTCTTATTATTATTATTATTCTTCTTCTTATTCTTCTTCTTCTTCTCATTCTTATGATTATTATTCTTCTTCGTATTCTTATTATTATTCTTATTATTCTTCTTATCCTCTTCCTCCTCCTCCTCCTCCTCCTCCTCCTCCTCCTCCTCCTTCCTCCTCCTCCTCCTCCTCCTCCTCCTCCTCCTCCTCCTCCCTCCTCCTCCTTCCTCCTCCTCCTCCTTCCTCTCTCCCTCCTCCTTCCTCCTCCTCCTCCTCCTCCTCCTCCTCCTCCTCTCCTCCTCCTCTTTCCTCCTCCTCCTCCTCCTCCTCCTCCCTCCCTCCTCCTCCTCCTCCTCCTCCTCCCCTCCTCTCCTCCTCCTCCTCCCTCCTCCTCCCTCCTCCTCCTCCTCCTCCTCTCTTCCTCCTCCTCCTCCTCCTCCTCCTCCTCCTCCTCCTCCTCCTCCTCCTGTCCTCCTCCTCCTCCTCTCCTCCTCCTCTCCTCCTCCTCCTCCTCCTCCTCCTCCTCCTCCTCCTCCTCCTCCTCTTCCTCATCCGCCTGGTCCTCCTCCTCCCTGACGAACGCCGACCTGTTTTTACCTGGACCAAGGCCCATCGTTCTGTCGACGGTGGTCTTTCTGCGTGTATCGACTCGGGCGAGGCGCTAGATACCTTTTTCGGCAACATGTGGGCCGACTGTTTCGCGAACATGGCCGCATTGGGTTCGTCTTCGATCGTCAAGGGCTTCAAGTTTCAGCTAGATTTAGCAATGAGCCGTATGAGGTGTCTTGCGTCTGCAGCGGGGAAGGTGGCAAAGATGGCCACACCTACTGTTAGGAAGCCCCTTGCGCCAGCCCGAGAGCTCGGCGCGCGAGGTAGCCCACCACGCATATTTTTGTCGGTTTCCCCGAGGGAGCACTCGGTTGCAAGATTTGTTGGAGACAGGCCACCACCCTCTCCTCTCTCAAGTCTCTGTCTGCCCGTCTCTGTGACCCCCATACTCCAGGGCCTGGCCATCTTGTGCAAGTGCCAGAGCGTGTGATTATCTGTACGCGCTGTGGAGCGCACGCGGTGCGCCCACAGCGACTCTCGGTCGGCCTGGTGCGAGCTTGCAAGGGGGGCGGGACTGGTACGTCGGGGAGTCGGGCGGATCGGAATCGGCTGCAGAGGCTTCTCGAGAATGCCCAGAAGGGCCGTCATCCCAAGACGGGAGAGGTCTTAAGCACATTGTTGCTGGCCGACGTGCCAGCGGATTTTTCTCGTGAGTCCGTGGGTTCCCAGCAGGTGCCTCCGCAGGTGGGGGCCGTGGGTCCTGGGGCCGAGGCCGTTGGCCTGCGTGGCGCGGTGCTGCTCGAAGATGCCCCAATTGTGGACTCACGGCCCGCGTTGGCCGCGTGAGCACCCGTGCACGGTGCTGGCGTCTGGCCGCACCGCCAGGGCGACCCCAGCCTAGCTGGGTCGCCCTGTCTCGAGGCGGCTTCGTGGTTCACCCGGCCGCTCTCTGCACTGCACCGCCCTCCCCCCCCGCCCTCCTCTGATTCCTCCTCCATCCCCCCCGTTTTGGAGCACGACGGTACACATGCGCCTCCACACCCCTGATCAGGGCAACTCGCCTGGGCATCGTTTCTGGATGGGCGGGTGGGGTTACGCCTTACTTTTTTGTCGCAGCCGCAAGCGAAGGCGCAGGCGGCGTCAAACAGGACGGGCGGGCCACGCGCGAACCTAATTGCCTAACGCGCTGGCAAACCAGAGGCCTAAGCGGCACCTCAGCGGACCGGAAGCGAGAGGTGGTGCGGGCTGCAGCTGCCAGGAAACAGGGCCAGGAGCGAGCGCATGCATAATTAGCCAACTCGGGTTGGGGCGCAGCCAAACTGGCGCGGGGGCGATACCAGGATGAGCCAGGGGCACCATCACGAAGGACCGCAGACACCAGCTGGGCCAGGAGAACTCACTGACCAGGAAACTAGTGCATGGAAGTGGCGCCACCAAAGTCGCACACAACGCTGACAAGTGGCCGCTGAAGGCGAAGACTAGACGTAGGATAAACCACACGGACATCCATGCACCCAGCCCCTGAAGGGGGCAGCGCACTTGCAATACAATCCAGGAGGTGATGTAAGTATGAATGCGTGTATGCATGTGTATATAAGTTTATGTGTGCATATGGATGTATGTATGCGTGCGGATATGTGCATATGGATGTATGGATGTATGTGTGTATGAGTGTATGCGTGTATGTATGTATACATGTATATGTGTGTATGTATGCATGTGTGTTTATATCTCTATGTGTACATATATATATATATATAAACGTGTTTATATGTGTGTACATGTATGCATGTATGTATGTAAGTATGCATGTATGTATGTATGTGTGTGTACGTGTGTGAAGCATACACGCGTGCATGCATGTATGTATGTGTGTATGGATGCATGTGAGTGGATGTATGTGTGTGTGCAAGTATGTATATATAGATGTATGTATGGATGTATGCATGTGTGTATGTATGCATGCATGGATGTGTGTATGGATGGATGTATGTTATGTATGTGTGTGCACGGTTGTCTGTATGTGTACGCGTATGTATGTACGTATGTATATATGTATGAATGTATGCGTATATTCCTGTATGTGTGTATGTGTGTATGTATGTATGTATGTATGTATGTATGTATGTATGTATGTATGTGTGTATGTGTGTATGTATGTATGTAGGTAGGTATGTATGTACGTATGCATGCATGCATGCATGCATGTATGTATGTATGTTTGTGTGTATGTGTGTATGGATGTATGGATGTATGTATGTGTGTATGTATGTATGTATGTATGTATGTATGTTTGTTTGTATGTATGTATGAATGTATGTATGTATGTATGTATGTATGTGGGTGTATGCATGTGTATGTCATGTGTGTATGTATATATCACTATATATACATATATATATATATATACGTGTGTGTATGGATGGATGTATGGATGGAAAGATGGATGGATGCATGCATGCATGGATGTATGCATGTATATATCGGCGGAGATCTGGGCATTGGGAACAGGGGATGTGACAGCAGCGCGGCCAGCGGCCTGGGCACGCCCTCGACATATTAGGGGGGAGACCATTCGCCGTTTCCTGGCCTCGGGGGGAGGGGGGGGAAACGTTTGCGGGCTCTGGGGCAGTCGGCCGGTACGGCCGAGATGGGTACAGAAAGAATGGGGGCGAAAACTGATCGCAGTTCCTGCGCATTTTGAACAGGACCCACTGTCGGTGCCGCCGCGGGCATTGTCCATCTGAAGCAGAACACCGCCTGCCCAACAGCGGCCGCTGTCGAATTGAGACAACACTTGCTGTTTGGCATCGTGCCCACTTGTTCCGCGCGCATGTCGAACGTGTAAAGTCAGGAAAAAGACCCGGGATGAGCAAACGATTCCCCAGAACCCGTGCGCAGCCTTCCACAGGCTGTAGGACGAGAATGATGGCACAAAAAGATTGACTGTAGGACGATGATGATGTCATGAGAAGGTTGGCTCAGGACTGTAATGTCGGATTAGCAGCTGCTTTCTGGAGCTCGCGCGGAACAGTAGGAAATCCAAGGGCGCCTACCTTCGCGCAGCGCGAAGCGCGAATAGTTTCACGCTCTTGCGCCGCCCTCCAGGGAGAAGAGGAGGATGAGGAGTCGGAGCCGAAGCGCGAAGCGCGAAGCGCGAATAACTTGGCGCCCTCGAGGGCGCCCTTGGGCACATGGGTATTCAATACATGGGAGCCCAGATGAGGTCCAGAACATCGCCAGCCCAAGAGAAGAAACTATGAAGTAAGCGGCAGTTGCGGGCATTGGGGGTACACGAGTCATGGGCATGAATCAGGTTCGAAGTGTGGAGCTGACCATATATCGAAGTAGGCTAAGTCCCATGGAGTACAGCACCAGCAACCCAATGATGTGGGCACCCTTGGAATAGTTAGAGGTCCTGGGGCGTGTCGTTGTCATGGCTTTGAACGCGTCGGATCGGGCCGGGCCACGCTGGGGCGCGCATACACCAGCACGGGAGCACGGGCTGCAGCATCGGCCAGGACAGCACCGGCGCCAAAAAGGGTGAGAGTGGGCACTTGTCGGGGGAGACGCAACGGTAGGATAGCAAATTGCAGGGTAGAGGATCAGCTCACAGAGCCGGTTTTCCTGGCGCCTCGTGGCGCCGGAGGCGCCCATGCATCGAGGAATGGGCCCGGCGGGGCCGAAACCAGCTGCATGCAGCAGATTCCGTACCCCCCTCTTTTCCTGTGCCCCCTCTCGTTGGGCCCGACCTTGGGAGACCCCTCTGGGGCCTCGCGCTCCACGAACATGCTGGCCCGGAAGCCATGGACGAAGGCGGTGGAGGCCGCGCTCTGCGCGTCCGCGCAGCGCCTGTGCTGCTCCGTCCACCGCCGGAGGTGCTCCTCTGCGAGATGGCCGCCCGTGCTCAGTACCATGCCTGGCCTCCCGTCACGCCCGACCCCGGCCCAGTCCAGGGTGTGCACAGTTTGCCAGGCTCCCTGGGCGGAAAAACTCTGCACCGTGCCATCCCTGGGTCGAGCATCGACGACGACCCGGGAGACGCCAGCGCGGTACGGTGCACGCAGGTCGTCCTCGGGTCCTCGAGGTCCCTGCGCCGCTCCTGCGCCAGGCGCTCCAGCCTCTCCATCTCCTCGCGCGCGCGCGCCGCGTGCAGCCTCCGGCGGCGCTCGACCTCCGACATGGCGTCCGCGCGCCCCGCCAGCGCCGCCTCGGTGTCCCTGCGCCACGCGGCGCGCGCCTCCTCCTGCTGCGCCCTCTCGCGCTCCAGGGCCTGCTCCCAGCGCGCCTCCTCCGCGGAGATCCTGGCCTGGAGCTCCTCGCGCCGCCGCTGCTCCGCCGCCTGCAGCTCCTCGTCCTCCTCCGCCGCCGGCGGCCGTCTGTGGGCGGGAGCGGGCTCCGCCGCCGCGGGCCGCTGCGAGCGCTGCGCCCGCAGCCTGCTGGCCGCCTCGAGCACCTTCTCCTGGCCCGGCCGGAAGCGGGCGCGGGCTTCCAGCAGCGCCTCCTCGAGCTCCGCGTCGCGGGCGGCCTGCTCCGACGCGTGCCGGGCACGCGCCTCCTCCCGTGCCACGGCCGCCGCCCTCCAGCGCTGAGCGCGCTGCGCATCCTGCTCGCCGGCCTTGGCGTGCTCCCACGCCAGCCGCTCCTCCCTGGGCAGCTCGGGCGCCGCGGTGCGCAGGGTCCTGGAAGGACTGCTGCGGCCCCCGTGCTCGTGCGGTTCCAGGTCCTGTTCGAGGGCACTCGGCCCCGGGCTCCACGCCCTTGTGGGGGCCGCCAAAGTGGGGCTGGAGCAGATGGGCTGCTCGGAGGATCGCGCCGCATCGCCGATGCATCGGCGATGCGTCGGCGACGCCGGGACGGAGGAGAAATCGGGGCCTGGATCGCCCCGCATCGCGGATGCACTGTCGATGCGGCGCGAACTTCCGACCCTATACTCGGAACCCACTTAGTAGGCGGCCTGGACCTCTGGCCCCACACCAGCTTCTCGCCAGCGGAGGTGCCCTGGGTGCACTCCGCGCTGGGCCTCACGGCCTCCCTGGCGGCGCAGGCGCGCCTCGGCGGCCGCGGCGCCGGCGGCGGCGGCCTGGGGGGTGGCAGCGCCCGCTCCCGGGGCCCCGCCGCAGCCTCCGCAAGCCCCTTCCGGAGCCCGTCCAGCTCCTCCGCCAGCGCCCGCTCGATCTCCCGCTGCAGGCATGCCCTGTTGGGCGGAAGGGAGACAGAACTTCTACACATGCGCAGAACGTGGCCCGACCCATCATGTGGGCCAGGGTCGGTGCACACAAACACCCTCCATGGCCTTGGCCAGGGAGCCATACAGCCAACCCGCATCATAAGGACGCACGATAAAGATGGAAGGGCCGTGAAAGGCCGTGTCAACACTCTGCGAGTGGGGCGCGGCCAACGAAAGCGGCCGAGGATGGCCCGAAGGCGAAGGATGAAAGGGTACCCTTGGTGAGCTGCTCATCCTTTCCATGCGGCTTTACTGTAGAGCACCGACCCTTGGCTCAGGATGGGCCTGGCCAGGACCGGTGCCTGTGCACGGCTCTCCTCGGCCGACCTGTGGGCGACCTTGGCCTCCCCGCTGGGGCGCTGCGGAGCGGGCGCGTCGGCGCCAGAGCGCGTCCCGGGCCGGCCGTCGGCGCCCCTCGGCGTCGCCGCCGCGCAGGCGCTGGCGTCCAGCAGAGCGGCCGCGGACTGCGCCTCTGGCTGGCCCTCGGCGGGCGGCTCGGTGCCCGGCTCCGCCGGGCAGCCGCCGTGGCGGAGCGCGAAAGCCGCGGCCAGCCGCGACCGCATCGACAGCCGGCCCCTCGCGGCCATGGCGGCTCCAGGAGGAGCGCCTGTGAGGCCCCGCGCCTCCCGCCCTCCCTCCCCTGCGTTCTCTCTCTCTCTCTCTCTCTCTCTCTCCTGCAGCTCCCCGTCGCACTCTCGGCCTCCTCTCCCTCTCGCTCCCCCGCCCTGTCCCCGCCTCCCTATTGATCCCTCCCTTTCAATCCGCATCCACCAATGACTCTCTAACTCCTCCTCTGACTCCCCCTTGTCCCACGGCCCTGCCTCCCTGTCCCTCCCTCTACTTCCCTCACCCTCGTGACCTCTCCCTGCCCATCCATCACTCCTCCGTTTTCCGTCCCATACCATACCCAAATTGCTATCGCTCCCACGCCCTCTCCCTACTTATCCCCTCTTCCACCTCCCCTCCCTCCTGCTCCTCCTGCCCAACTCCCAATGCGTCGCCTACCTAATTCCCACAACCTTCCTCCCGCCATCCCTCCACCTTTTCTTGTGTGCCTTCTCCCTCCCCTCCCTCCTCCTCCTCCTCCTCCTCCTCCTCCTCCTCCTCCTCCTCCTCATCTCTCATCATCATCATCATCATCATCATCAGCATCATCAGCATCATCAGCATCGTCATCATCGTCATCATCGTCATCATCAGCAGCAGCATCATCAGCATCATCAACATAAACAGCATCATCATCATCATCATCATCGTCATCATCATCATCATCATCATCATCATCATCAGCAGCAGCAGCATCATCATCACCATCATCCTGCTCCTCCTCCTCCTCCACCTCCTCCTCCTCCTTCTCCTCCGCATCCTCCCGCATCAACGTACCGCATTGTGCTCAACAGTACGATTCATCCGCGTCATCACCACCACCAATCGTCGTCGTCATCATCATCATCAGAATCAGCAGCATCACCACCACCACCATCACCTCCATCATCACCTCCATCATCATCATCATCATCATCATCATCATCATCATCATCATCATCAGCAGCATCGTCATCATCATCATCATCATCATCATCATCATCGTCGTCATCATCGTCATCATCAGCAGCAGCATCATCAGCATCATCAGCAGAATCATCATCATCATCATCAGCAGCATCAGCAGCATCATCCTTCTCCTCCTCCTCCTCCACCTCCTCCTCCTCCTCCTCCTTCTCCTCCGCATCCTCCCGCATCAACATACCGCATCGTGCTCAACAGTACGATTCATCTGCGTCATCACCACCACCAATCGTCGTCGTCATCATCATCATAATCAGCAGCATCACCACCACCACCACCACCTCCATCATCAGCATCATCATCATCATCATCATCATCATCGTCATCGTCGTCGTCGTCATCATCATGATCATCATCATCATCGTCCTCGTCTTCGTCATCATCATCACCACCACCACCACCATCATCATCATCACCATCATCATCAGCATCATCATCATCATCATCATCATCATCATCATCATCATCATCATCATCATCATCATCATCATCATCATCATCATCATCATCGTCATCATCATCATCATCATCATCAGCATCATCATCATCATCATCATCATCATCCTCATCCTCGTCCTCGTCCTCGTCCTCGTCCTCATCCTCCGCCTCCGCCTCCTCCTCCTCATCATCATCATCATCCTCTTCATCACCATCATCATCGTCATCGTCGTCGTCGTCATCATCATGATCATCATCATCATCGTCCTCGTCTTCGTCATCATCATCACCACCACCACCACCACCACCATCATCATCATCATCATCATCATCATCATCATCATCAGCATCATCAGCATCATCATCATCATCATCATCATCATCCTCATCATCATCATCGTCAGCATCACAACCACCATCACCACCACCACCACCATCATCATCATCATCATCAACATCATCATCATCATCATCGTCATCATCATCATTATCAGCAGCAGCATCATCATCAGCAGCAGCATCATCGTCATCCCCGCCATCATCATCACAACCACCGCCATCAAAACCACCACCACCACCATCGGCATCATCATCGACATCAGCATCATCGGCATAATCGTCGTCATCATCATCATCACCATCATCATCATCATCATAATCAGAATTATCATCATTGCCAGTACCATCATCAGCATGAGCAGCATCGTCATCATCCTCATCGTCAGCATCATCATCAGCATCATCATCAGAAGCATCATCATTATCATCATCCTCCTCATCATTATCAGAATCGTCATCATCATCAGCAGCATCAGCATTATCGCCATCATCATCAGCAGCAGCATCAGCAGCAGCATCGTCATCACCATTTGATCATCCTCACCATCAGCTTATCATCATCATCAGCATCAGCTTCATCATCAGCATCATGATCATCGACAGCATCATCATCATCAGCATCATCATCAGTATCATTATCAGCATCAGTATCAGTATCATCATCATCAGCATCATCATTTTCGTCATCAGTACCATCATCATCAGCATCATCATCAGCGACAGCATCATCATCAGCAGCTTCATCATCATCATCACCATCATCGACAGCATCATCAGCAGCAGCATCCGCATCATCATCATCATCAGCATCATCATAATCCCCGCCATGATCAGCATTATCATCATCAGCAGCAGCATCATCATCATGATCCACGTCATCGGCATCATCGTCGTCATCAGAATCATCATCGTCAGCAGCAGCATCAGCATCAGCAACAGTAGCAACACCATCAGAATCAGCATCAGCATTATCCTCATCAGCATCAGCATGATAATCATCTTTAGCATCACCACCAGAATCATCAGCATTATCATCATGAGCATCATCTCCTCGCCATCACCATTATCAGCAGCATCATCATCAGCAGCAGCATAAGCATCAGCATCATCATCAGCATAATATTCATGATCATCAGCAACATAAGCATCATCATCAACCATCATCAGCATCATCATCACCAGCAGCAGCATCGTCAGCAGCAGCAGCGGCATCATCATCATCTGCAACATCAGCATCATCACCCACCATCTACATGATAAACGGCATCAGCAGTATCAGCATCATCATAATCAGTATCATCCTGATCATCATCATCATCATCATCAGCAGCATCATCATCGCCACGACCACCACCACCACCACCATCATCATCACCATCATCACCATTACTATCACCATCATCAGCAGCAGCATCATTATCATTATCATCATCAGCATCATCATCACCGTCGCCACGACCATCAGCAGCAGCAGACTAGTATGTCGGCCATCATTCCAGGAGCATCTGGTGGCGAAGCTCGAGTTTCAGGGACTGAGCGGCTTAGTGTTCACCAGTGCTCCTCTCGGGCGCCTATTGGGACGTTTTGAAGGAGGCGTGAATCACAAGCATTATAGGTCTCCAGAGCGCCGCTGACGGCCAAAGAGGCCGTCCAAGAACCCCAAGACGGCAGGCAGGCGGGAGGAGGTAGGAAGAGGGACAAGGAGGGAGGCGGGAAGGAGAGGAGAAGGCGGCAGTAGTACCCTCTTGAAAACGAGAGAACCTAGCGCGGGAGGGCTGGGCAAAACAGAACCTCCACAAACCTCGGAACTTCCATTGGGGGGCGGAAAGATACGGATACGTGTTGTCCCTGGACCTCTCTTGGGGTGCGTTCTGACCAGAATTTCGAGGCGAATCCAGCGGTGACAACGAGGATTCCCCAGGAGGACCAGGAAAGGCCGAAAACGAAGGGGGACAACACGTATCCGTATCTTTTTCTCCCCCGATTCCAGGGCCTCTGCCCCCACGCCGACTACTACGGAGCGCGGAGCAGACCACAGACATCCAACGATACGATGTCTCCACCCGGGGCACCAGAGGGCCCGACCTCCTCCGGAAGGGGTAACGTTGCGCCCCGGGTCCAGAGGGGGCCCGCTCACGGTCCCCAAGGGGCCGAGCTCTAGGAGAAGCGCCCCGATGGGGGAGAACAACAAAAAACAAAAAGGAGAAGACGAAGCAAACGAATATATGTACATACATACATATATATATATAAACAGATAAATGATAAATAAATAAATAAATAAATAAATACACAAATAAATAAATAAATAGATAATTCAATAAATAAATAAATGCATAAATAATTACGCCAACAAAAATACCGTCGGAGGTCGGCCGGCCGGCGAGGCAGCCTGCGCGGCCATGCTGCGCCGCGGGCGGGGAGGCGGGGCGCCCGCGCGGCAGGAGGGGCCGGGCTCGGCGAGCCCGCGGCCGCGGGCGGGGCGCGCGGCGGGCGGCGCGCTCGCGGCCGTGGCGGTCGCGCGCGCCGCGGGCGGGGCGCGGGGCCCGCCCCCTCGGGCGGCACGCGTGCACCGCACCGCGCTGGCGCCTCCCGAGGGCGTCGCCGATCTTCGATCCCGAGAGCGGTCACTTTAAGTCGGGCCTATCCTTCTACAGGAGGGATATCCTTCTACAGGCCAGGCCGGAGCCCAGCGGGCCCGCGCCGCGGGCCCGGGCCGCGGGCCCGGGCCGCGGGCCGATGGGTCGGGCAGGCCCTCCCACAGGCGGCGCTCGGCAGAAACAACAAAAAAAAGACTGGCCCCAAGAAGATGCTGGAAGAGTCTCCAGCATGTACTCCAAAAACCGTCCCCAAAACCATGCTTCACCATTCCTGCACGATTCTTGAATGCTCTCCCGGAGAAGTCGTCCCAGAAATCGCCCCCGGACTATTCTTTTAGCTATTTTTGAACACTCCTCCTGTCGAGGGACCTGCCCGACCTGACCGCGGGCCACGAGCGGAGTGGAGAGGCGCGGGGCGCGGGTCGGCGTGGAGGGCTCCGGCTCCGCGGAGCCCCTGGGGAGGCCTCCGGGGAGGCGGCGGGATCAGGAGGGCCCCGAGGCCTCAAAGGTGCCCGGGCGGCCGGGGGGGGCCTCGGAGAGTTCCTCCGGCTTTCCAAGGAGGCCCCCCGCCTTGACAGGCACTCTCCGATACGATCCTGTGATAGTCCGCGGCCCCCAGAGCTCCCGACTCCGCTTCGTGGCCCCGGGGCCCGACAAGGGGCCCTGGGGGCAGGAACCGCAGAAGAACGCCGCATTGAAAAACAAAAAGCACGTCGGGCCGCAGGCGCGACGAGAGGTGGGCCGACGATGGACCAGAGAGGACAGCCTCCCCTGATGCCCCCGGTCTCCCTGCTCTCATCACCGCCAGCCGACACGCCTGGCGCCGCAGACACAGATCGGGGTTGGTGCCGGGGCCGCGGATTCAGTGCAGGAGGAGGGAGAAGAGAAGGGAGAGAAGGAAGGGGGCAAGCCAGGTGCGCTCGCGCCATGTCTGACATCCTATCCTCCCTCCCCCCCCCATCCCTTCCAATTGCGCTGATGTTTCTCTATCCGCGGACGCGTGTCATAGTCGACCTGAAACTCCAAGCAAGACCCCATCGTTGACACCAATCGGAGAAGGGGAGCTGCGTAAATAGGAGGAGGTGGTGGTGGTGGCAGTCCTAGGAGACGGAGGCCGTCCGACTGTCTATAACGAACTGGATACTCAGCAGCGCGGGCAGCGGCAGCGGCATCGGCAGAGACAGAAGAGGAGCGAGCGAGAGAGAGAGAGAGAACACAGCAACTACAACTTCACTAACTACGTGCTGGCACGCTGACCTGAATTACCCGACCTGCACGTTGCATATCGCTCCTCGATCTGTCTCCAACGGGGCCTGTACTGAACCCTTCTGCAAGCAGGGAACCTTCTGAGGGTAGTAGTATTTCACACATTGGTATATACTCCCAGACTGGTTGCCACGATACTTGCCGTCCCATTGCTCATATACAGCATCAGCTTGGAAAATCCAGTAGAGAGCGTGAGCAAGGAGAGAATAGAGGTAGGCGGTAGCCCGTCTAGCAACACGTCCTGCATAGATGTGCAATCTCCCCCATGAAAATACAACAATCCCCTGAATGCGTTCAGCCACTTTGATTTCCTTTCTCTGCGAGCGCAACTGTCGTGCGAAGGACTCGTCACTCTCCTCAGGTATCCTCGGCAATCTCCAAAAAGAACAGATAGTTTGGCTTGAGCCGCCGCAGGGTAAGTGCATTCCTTATTTTAAACTGCCAGGTCGGCTCACACCACAGGCATGATGAGAACACCATTCTGTGGATCAGCCTGACGCGCGAAATACGTGAGCTCGACCGCGCCACCAGGACATGTCTCGCCGATGCCCCCGCCGAAGACGCAGGAAATGTCTTAGCCGTCACACCCTGGTCAGTATGGCCCCTTGAATTCATCCATATATCACTGGTTCGACGGCCTGATGTTTGCCCAGGGGTGTGCCTCACCCGTGGCGTTAACCTGCAGCTTGATCCTGCCCTCATGTAGACTCCAAGAGTACAAGATGAGGGCGGCACTGCATGTTTCCAGATCTCTCAAGCATCAAGACTAGAGTACGCTAGAAAAGATAAGTTACCATTCCCAACGAAAAGGGAGGACATATATACATATACATACAGACGTACATACATACCTACATACCTACATACATACATACATACATACATACATACATGCATGCATGCATGCATGCATATATATATATATGTCATATAACTATGAATGTACATACATATATATATATACATATATGCATGCATGCATACATACATACATACATACATACATACATACATACATACATACATACATACATACATGCATACATACATACATACATGCATGCATGCATGCATGCATGCATGCATGCATGCATGCATACATACATACATACATACATACATACATACATACATACATACATATATGCATGCATACATACATACATACATACATACATACTAGAACCACGCGCGCGCTTCGCGCGCGCTTAGGTTCTAGCTAGGAGGCGAGCTTGAGTCAACGAAAGTCGCAGGGAAGGGGGCAGGGGGAAGAAGGCCAGAGAGCGCTGAAGGATACAAATACTGGAACCCTCTTGTGATTTTGTGGGGGGCCTCGTCCGGCCGCTCGCTGGGAGTTTGACGTAGCTTCTCGGGAGCCTCTGAACCTGTCGGGGGCCTCCTGGAAGCAGGTTCGAAGCATTTTGGGGGCCGATTTGGGGCTTCTCGGGGCCTCCTTTGGGCCTCTTGGGGGTCTCCTGGGGCCTCTTGAGGGGCCTCCTTGGGGCCTCCTGACGGCCTCTTGGGGCGGAAAGGCTCGAGCTTGCGGTTCGTGGTCCCCCTCTGGGCCCCCTCTTGGGCCCGTCTTGGGGCCCTCTTGGGCCATCTTGGGCGCCTCTTGGGCCGTCTTGGGGCCCTCTTGGGCTGTCCTGGGGCCTTCTTGGAAGCTTCTTGGGCCGTCTTGGGGCGGTCTTGGGCGCCTCTTGGGCCGTCCTGTAACGTCGGAAAGCCCAAAAGGCAACTTTGTTAAAAATGTACGTTTTTACCTAACAGCGAAGACTGATAGGTTTCTAGTTGACTCAAAAGAGCTCACAGATCACTCCACAGGGGGGTCCGGGCAGGCGTTGGGAGTTGCCGGCCGGGCCTGTGCCGGGCTCGTTTTTCACCAACAGTCACACACTTCGTGCTCGTCGACCTCTCAGAACCCCATTCCCAGGCCACATTCTGAATAACCGGATGCAACAGTCACACACTTCGTGCTCTTCGATTTCCCAGAACTCCATTCCCGGGCCACATTTTGGATGCCCGGAGCCAACTGTAGGCCACTTCGTGCTCTTCGATTTCCCAGAACTCCATTCCCGGGCCACATTTTGGATGCCCGGAGCCAACTGTAGGCCACTTCGTGCTCTTCGATTTCCCAGAACTCCATTCCCGGGCCACATTTTGGATGCCCGGAGCCAACTGTAGGCCACTTCGTGCTCTTCTAGTTCCCAGAACTCCATTCCCGGGCATGATTTTGGATGCCCGGAGCCAACTGTAGGCCACTTCGTGTTCTTCGATTTCCCAGAACTCCATTCCCGGGCCACATTTTGAATGCTGAGGCAGGCTGATGCTGCGGCCGAGGCAGGCTGAGGCTGAGGCAGGCTGAGGCTGAGGCCGAGGCTGAAGGCAGACTGAGGCTGAGGCTGAAGCAGACTGAGGCTGAGGCTGAGGCAGGCTGAGGCTGAGGCTGAGGCAGGCTGATGCTGAGGCAGGCTGAGGCTGAGGCTGAGGCTGATGCAGGCTGAGGCTGAGGCAGGCTGAGGCTGAGGCCGAGGCTGAAGGCAGACTGAGGCTGAGGCTGAAGCAGGCTGAGGCTGAGGCTGAGGCAGGCTGAGGCTGAGGCAGGCTGAGGCTGAGGCTGAGGCAGGCTGAGGCTGAGGCTGTGACTGCGACTGCCGTTGCCGCTGCGACTGTCATCGCGAATGCGACTACGACTGCGAGAACAGCAGAATTCTACAACTGGATTCTCATCTGAATCTTAAGGGGAATGCTTTCAGATATGCTTCTACACATCGCTGTTAGGTTGCTTTGCCGGGATAATCCCATAGGAATGGCACGATTTTTGCTTCTTGGGCCTCTCTTGGGCTGCCTCTTGGGCCCGTCTCGGGGCCCTCTTGGGCCATCTTGGGCACCTCTTGGGCCGTCTTGGGGCCCTCTTGGGCTGTCCTGGGGCCCTCTTGGAAGCTTCTTGGGCCGTCTTGGGGCGGTCTTGGGCGCCTCTTGGGCCGTCCTGTAACGTCGGAAAGCCCAAAAGGCGACTTTGTGGAAAATGTACGTTTTACGACGGGAATGGGTCAATTTTTGCGTCTAGGGGCCCTCTTGGGACGCATGTTGGAGGCTTCTTGGGGCGTCTTGGGGGCGTCCTTGGACGTCTGGGGTCTCCTGGGGCCTCTTGAGGGGCCTCCTGGGGGCCTCCTGGCGGCCTCTTGGGGCGGAAGGCTCGAGCTTGCGGTTCGTGGTCCCCCTCTGGGCCCCCTCTTGGGCCCGTCTTGGGGCCCTCTTGGGCCATCTTGGGCGCCTCTTGGGCCGTCTTGGGGCCCTCTTGGGCTGTCCTGGGGCCCTCTTGGAAGCTTCTTGGGCCGTCTTGGGGCGGTCTTGGGCGCCTCTTGGGCCGTCCTGTAACGTCGGAAAGCCCAAAAGGCGACTTTGTTGAAAATGTACGTTTTACGAAGGGAATGGGTCAATTTTGCGTCTAGGGGCCCTCTTGGGACGCATGTTGGAGGCTTCTTGGGGCGTCTTGGGGGCGTCCTTGGACGTCTGGGGTCTCCTGGGGCCTCTTGAGGGGCCTCCTGGGGGCCTCCTGGCGGCCTCTTGGGGCGGAAGGCTCGAGCTTG